CGATGGAAGACACCCACTGAGGTGCTTTCTAAAGTCATATTTTATGTACTTACTTACAAGTGAAGAGTTCTTTCCCTCCCACCAGCATGATGATCAGATGTGTCGGCCATGTGGAAGTCCAGAAGAGGGAAAAGCTAGGCGTTTATGCTCCCGATGTCACATTCAGTTAAGAAAAAGACGCGTAATTAAGTGTAATTCATGTAACCATTAGCAACGCTGCAAGTAAACGCTATCAGTGCAGTCGTAATGAGGAATCTGTCTTAGCCGAGACATCCTCCACTATCTCATTAGAAGTAGGGGATGGTCACAACTCCGTGGAGGGAGGAATGGAAATTGGAGCCACTGCTCCAATTGGTCCCCTTGTCACCACTTGCTTAGAAGACACACTCAAGTGAACAAGTATTACACTGTCAACTGCAAAGGTGGCGAACACCTTGACAGCGGTGTTTTAAAGTTCTTTTTGGAATGTATATAGAAATACCTTAAATAATTGTTTCAGTTTAACGGCGGGCGGATGTGTTGAAGAGTTGGCGCATTCGCCCTTGCAGTGATTCATCTCGAATGTCATCTTGGCTCAAGACGTACCCACACAAATGCACACACACCCACACACACACGCATGCACACCACATCAAGTCACATCGTGTGTAACATGCATAATTGGCATATTTGACTTACATTGGTGAGTCACATGACCAAAAATACACACAATACTGACTCCGCGCTGTTGTCTGGACTACGAAACTGCCTGAAGCATCCTCCTTTCCTGGTTTCGAGTGCTTTGTGCTTTTGGGGTTTGAGTACGTCGAGGTGTTATTTGTTTCAGTGTGTGGAAAAAGGAAGGAGGACCTGAAGTGGCTTTCAGAATATTTGGTTGAATTCATAAAATACGCTGATGGCATTTTGACGTGGCTGGATGTGGAAGTGGGTCGTGACGCCTTTTCCTCCCTCCAGTTAGATCGTCCCCATCCTCGGCATTTTCTGCTTCCCTCCCTTAGTCGCACAAATAAGTAATTATTACGAGGTGAAAGAAGGAGACCGCGCTGCCTGCACCTTTGAAAATGTCGTTTATGAATGAAGGAGGAAGGAGGTCACAATATTCTCACTACTTGACGCAGCGTTGTGTGTTGATCGTTCAGGCCAAAGTTCACTGTCAAATGATTGGAGAGATTGTAGAGGTAGTTGAGGGCAGGATTGAAGATTTAGTGAACACACCGGGATGTAGTTAAGCAATGTGTGAGTAAGGAAAATCGGTTTTATCATTTCCACCTTTCTTTCCGTACTTTAAGTTCTCAAGCGGTCTTAATCATTTCTGGATGAGTGTTTTGCTCCCGCTCTCGATCTCAATCACCTCTACTTAACTGGATGTCTCAGGTGCCTGTGCTTGTACCAGTGTGTGTGTGACACTGGGGGTGATTGTGACAATTAGTTACCTCACTCAAATGTGCTTCCTGCAATTCAAGGTGCCCATGTAATGGCAGAGCTGCCTTAACCGTCGACGAGGTGCCATTGCGCTGAACCTGTAAGGAGAACGATCTCAAGTAACCCCAAAGAGAAGGGTGGAATTTCTTCTACAACATGAGTCAGTCTCGCACACCAGTTGTGTACATCATTCGCCTGTCCACATTGGGTGGAGCTGCTTAAGGTGGGTGATAAAGGCATGAGCTAATGCATACACATCAACTGGGAGGGGATAATAATGGTGGTGGTGGGAGGAGGGGGAAGAACGATGCCTGCTATCTGCCTGTCAAGCCTCAAATATAGATAAGAAGAGGAGTCCACGTTAATTTATGCGATATTTACTTCTGCCATATAGGTGGGTAGCCTTTGGAAGCAGGTTAAGGGGAGAGCGCCTGTGGAGTGGATACAAGTTCATCGCCAGATAGCCGTCATTACCCTCTGCGTGCATCTGTGCATGATAGGTTGAAGGTGGTACATCACAATCTGAGGGTGTATAAGAAGGCCATCTTTTTTAGCCACCACAAAGATAGAAGTGATTGAAGGGGGTTGGAAGAAAGCAGTATTATTGAATGACAAGAGGAGGCCTCACCTTGAACCCTACAATACGGATCTCAGGCGTGGGAAGACTTCATACTGTGAATCTGAACGAGAAAAAAAAAGCTGCCGCATTCGCACTGTTATAATCATCTTAGCCGTACATATTTTTTGCCATATTTTCCTGACATCAAGACCAGACAGCCAGTCAAGTGAATGGCTTTAAGTTTGATTGTAATAGCAGAGGTTAGAATGAGATAGTACAGCACTGAATGGGAAAGGATAGGACAGAAAGAAACAAACAGTCGGGAAGTAGACGTGAGGTAGACTGGAAGGTGAGTTGTGCTGGGGCTTGGTCTTTTGCTCCTAGTGATAAGACATTCTGTAGGACTGTGCCACTGACGAAGGATCTGAAACCCTAGATGGCAGATAGCGAGATGGAGATTGTCAGAGATGATTCCTTCAAAGAGCGGTATAGTTTGTGAATCCCCTTGACGGCGATGCAACTATGCCAACATCCAACCATTTCATGCAGGCTTGTGCAGACGCATTCCTCAACTGCTATAACAACTGTTTGCAATCTAAGAGCACTAGGCAACACTGGAAGAGATCTCTTCAGTTTGTTGAATGTGTACCTGAACACATCTGCTTCAGCTTACTTCCAGTGGAAGAATTTACGAGTTGGCATGACAGAAATCTCCCTCAGTTCCCTCTTTATTAATGTCTAATCTACGTACGTGAGCACATCGACGAACATCTGGTGCTTGTGTGCTTCGTGGAAGATTGTGATCAAAACGGATGTTTTCTTGGAAAGAAAGGTTTTGTGTGTGTGGTGCACGTGAGCACATATGTACATAGAACCCACCTCAGTACACCCCTACATCTCCTTGATTGTTGGATGACATTCCTCTATAAGGCTCCAAAACGTCCCTTTCCTACCATTCGTGGCGACTACTCCTGAATGCTACTTTTGTTCTTTTTCTTGGACTACAAATGAAATGCTTCTTCATTTCCAGGCGACACTCCTTCCATGTACATCGTAGTTGGCGCCTGTGAGTGGCAGTGAAGCATGGAAGGGAATGGATTCACTTCTCAGGGACTCCTGACGACTCGGCATAAAGTTGGGGAACAGGGAGGCGCCATTTAGACAGCTCCTGTAGGCAAAAGCAACTGCCAGCTGCACTTTGTCAAATAACCAGTCGTACCATTGTGGATTTGGTCAAAGCAATGTCGTTTCACGTCCCCATCTCGCGCTTGTTAGCATCCCTTAACGGTATTCCGAACGACCCAGGTTCCACTTGACGTCCACCTTCTTCCAGCAAACCTGCAGTGAGAACTAACTGGCAAAGCAGAAAGAGGTCTAAACTTACTTACTCATGGTGGATGATGCAATCAGGTCAAACGACTGACAGAGGCTAAGTTCCTAAGCTTTCATAGTGCACAGCCAAATCTACGTGGATGGAAAACCACTGACTCAACCCCTTACCATATTCTACTCTTCCTTTACCTGTAGAAAGGGCGTTTCCCACTGAAGCGAGGCAGCAGATAGTCACGCATCTACCACATGTATCCTACCATTAGATGGAGGCGCATCTTCGGACGGGGGCGTAGACCTCTCATTTTTTATCAACTGCTCAACCTTGTCCTTGGATGAAGTAATAACATTTCAGTACTTAAACTCTGCTCCACGAATACCATCAAGTGATAATGGAAAGTGGATGTGCAGGTTGTGCCAGTGTCAGGAAATGTCAAACACCGGAATGGGCAAAGTGGGAGTGAAGTTAGTG